TTTTTTTTTTTCCAAAACATACAAAAACATACATATACTGAAATTTTCCCATTTACTGGAAGAAGTTGAGGAAGAATTCCACTTCAAATTAAATATACAAAAAAACTCATTGAAAAGTGGGTTTGTGTTTCAGGAATTTATGCGTATGATTGGCAATGACAAACAAGGACAGATGATTGTGTTCCATTTGATAGAGCTCCTAAAGAATAATGGACGATTACCAAGACCAGATGGATGCCCAGATGAGGTAACAAAAAATGTTTTTATTCATAGTAACCATGCATTTTCTTTTTCTTCCTACTCAAAGATTTCAGGTCACTTTCTGAAATTTAATTTGCTGAGCTTTTAGATAAATAGCGAATCTGATGACTGTGGATAAGACATAGGCTATGACACATACCCTGTGCAGGAAAATTAAGTGGGAATTTCAAATACATGACTTCCACCAATTAAAAGATGGCATTTAGTGTTCATTGTAATTATGATTTATTTTCTACTTTACAGATTTATATGATCATGACAGAATGCTGGAACAATAACGTAAATCAACGCCCCTCCTTTAGGGACCTAGCTCTTCGAGTGGATCAAATAAGGGACAACATGGCTGGATGAAAGAAATGACCTTCATTCTGAGACCAAAGTAGACTTACAGAACAAAGTGTTGTATTTCATATTGTTGTGGACTATTATTACATATACCGTTATTACCTAAATCATGATGCTAGCCAGCAAAGATGTGAAAATATCTACTCAAAACTTTCGAAGTTTATTGAGTTTTTCTTCATGAGGCCACCAGTAAAAGACAGTAATGAAAAGTTCTTAGCAGGGAATTTTGTAAAAAGTTTCATGAACATTATCAGTCAGCTAACCTCACCCTTCTCTGATAAAAGAAAAAAAAAAACAGACTTTTTTCAACTCAGCTTTTTGAGAGGTGAAAAAATTACAATGTAAATTTTGCAGTGTTAAAGATGCACAGAAAATATATATGTACAGTTTTTACCACAGTGGAAAAATAATATCTTGGCATCTTGTGTGATGTTTTACACAAGGGCTGGTGTTCATTAATAATGTTATCTAATTTTTTCATAGTTGATCTATAATAACTTCACTGTACAAATTAAGATGCTTAGGTAATTGAATAAGCACCTTTGTGTCCTTGTTCAGCTTTATCACTGGCCAGCAATATAAGCAGGTGTATACTTTTAGCTTGTAGTTCATGTACTGTAAATATTTTTAATGGAAAGGGAACAAATGTCTAGTTTTATTTGTATAAGGAAATTTCCCTAACCCTAATTAAGAATACATTTTGAAATAGAACAAGCTTACAAAGATATAACATAATCTATTTTCTTATTTGTTTCCCTTGTATCTATTTGTGGTGAATGTATTTTTTAAATAGAACCATCTCCAAATTTTTCTAAGACTACAATGAATAGTTTTCTTTTAAAATTTCGAGATTAAGTATGTCAGGAATATTGTCATTCCTTGAGCTGTTGACTGCCAATAAGATTCTTCAATCCCTGAGACCTATGGTCATGAATTAAATTGAAGCATAAGCCATAAAATAGATTGATTTTAAAATGCATAAGCTCATTAAGATGCATAGTGGGTTAGGAATTTTTTTTCTAAAAACTATGTTTGAGGGGTTTCAGAACTCTCTGTTGCAGTCATGGAAGAGATTTATTTCCTTTTGCAAGAGGGTCATACACAAGAGGGAAAAGAGGTAAATTGGTGAAAAAAGTATGCTTGTTGATTTTATTCAAAATGCCAGTAGAAAATTCACAATGTATATCTTTAAAATGAGAGCATACATATTTTTCAATTAAGTATAAAGGGTTGTTTATTGTTGTCATTTGTTTTAGTGCTACTCCACTTTAGGCACCATCCCTAAAATAAAATATGGTGGGTTTTTTTCCGTGTGTGTTATTTATACAAAGTTTAAAATACTTAGTATTTTGGTTAAAAAGAAAATAGTTTCTTTATTTTTGGTGGTATATGCTATTTTTTTAAACTTGTACTTAAGACTTCTGATTTTGGGTTGAAGGGATTAGGGAAGAAATGCTTTTTACATTC